CTATAGGCATTTGAAATGACAGAATAGGAAAGAGATAAGATAAATAGAAAGGATAAATTAAAAAAACAATATAAAGAAGTATGTGATGAAATTATATAAACCAAAAATTGGTTTAACATAGCGACTCTATTATTAATTCCTGTCTTGTATTAAAGTTGACTGTATTCTCTAACAACAAATAAAAAAAAACTATTACATATGATATTGCCAGTTTCCATTTAGTCAGCACAAATTAATATGGATTGATTGGTTAAAAAAATATTTTTAAAACAATATTTTTTGTCTTTCAGCTTTCGATTTAATATTTGACATTAGTATCAATACTGTTGTTGAAGGTGAACCTATAACGTTTGTATGTTCAGTAAATTCTAAACCTGATCCAGTAGTCATTTTATACAAAGATGAGACTCCAATTAGCAGAGAAACAACAACAAATCTAACATATAACATTGATAATGTGGTGAGGAGTGACAGGGGGAACTACAAATGTGAAGCAAGTAACATAGTTGGTAGTGATACATCTCAAGTCCAGCGATTGGACGTTCAGGGTAAGTGTCTCAACATTATTTTATTTTATTTCCATTAATATTATCTTTGTAGTTTTTTTAATATTTTGTATATGATCTCCTGAATTAATTATTGCATAATGACAGCCTTCTATATTCTCTACATAAAACTGGGTTTTCAGATTTGCATCCTTAATGCAAAGCTTTCTCAATGTATTAGCAAATGCAATTTTACCAATTAATAATAAATTCTAAAGCTTTCACAAGGCCGTGATTATCGTAAAGCGATATTGTTGGAAAAAAACTATTGTTTTGATGGAACGAAAGGATTGGGATGCCATATTTATTATTGATTGGTCATTACCAGTTTTATGATTTAACTAGTGTTTGATTGCCTCTTTGTCATGTTTCACATTTCTTGCAAGTTATTACCATTAATGATTCTGCTTCCGTTCTCAGATATACCTGAATTTGATTTAGCAGATGAAGTCACTGTTGGTCATGAAGAACAGTAAGTTATATTGAACTTGAAGTCTCAGCTAATCCTAGTGATGTACTTATCAATGGACCACAAATCCTCCTGGAATTGAAGATACAGACACTAACCCAGCAACTTTCACAGTCAATGATCCAGATGTTACCGTCATAGTGTTCACAATAACAGTTACTGTTACTAATAGTATTGGATTGACAACAAAGTCGATTAAAATAATTGTAATGGGTAAGCTGATTTTTTACTTTTACAGTAAGCCTTCTAGTAGCATCGCTTTGAAATTATTCTCTTAAAATAAACGTTTGTGAATTAACTCTATATTAGGTTTTACGTAAAAATGTTGTGGATTGTAGTGAGTGTTATTTTTTTCTATAGCAAATCCATGTGCTGTCAAACCCTGTGAAAATGGTGGCACGTGTTCAGTTGTTAAAGGAGTACTTCTGATTATTTCGATGGATTAAATTGCACAAGTGAGTTAACTTAATATTTATATAACAAAATATATCGATACTAATCTAGTATCTAATCTGGTGGTAGCCACTGTGTGTGCACTGAACCGTGGAGATCTCTAGGTCCCTGGTTCAATTCCCATCGCTGCCCCTTCTTGTGTTTCAGCTGGAGAGCTGAAATACAAGTTACAATAGCGCACCGTCTTTCAGATGAGACGTTTAAACCGTTGGTCCCGTGTGCATTTATGGCCCATGCGCACGTTAAAGAACACAGTACACTCTTCAGAAAAGAGTAGGGGATAGTCTCCCGGTGTACTGCCCAATCACCACCAGAACGACCACATTTGAAATATGTCTTCTTTCGCGGGCTATCAATAATTAATAATTAATTCGCCCATTAACTTGTCACTGAACTTATATTTTGTGGTCCAATCAACTAATTTTATCTTTAATTTGATTTCGATTGGTTAATACCATTTATTATTCTTTATGTATGTGCAAGATCTCAAAAGTTTTCTCACTTTAATGTTGATGAAGATAGCAGGAGCTATCGAAATATCCGTTTGTTTTTGTTATAGTTTAATATATTTGTGTTCTGCAAGTCAACTTTAAATGATTGTACACCGTTTTTTCATTGTTTTTTATTATGTTATATATATATATATATATATATAATATAAATCATTAAAGGTACATATACAGTGTTTAATAAGGACATGATGGAACATCGTAGGCTACCCTGTAGCTTTTTAACGAATAAAGTCCTATGAAAAATCATTGTGTAATAAAATGCCTCCGACGGGATTCGAACCT